ATGGACAAGAGAAAAAGATGTAGTTTGAAAGGCAGTGCAATTAGGTGAGGTTGATGAATGGAGTGATATCAGCCTCTCAGGGATAACACCTAGCTTTAAAACACACTGACCTCATACTTGTCCATCTGAATAGTAGATAAAGTGAAATCATAATAATCCAATTTTTCAAAATAGAAAACTGGGAGGGATAATTATATACAACAAATGACAGAAATCATCAAAGAGAGAACCCACTGAAGCACGTACCTAAACCAACAATGTAAAATACAATTAAGTGCAAATATGGTATTCTATACCAAGTTCAACTGCAAAAATACAAAATGGAAAACACTGGGCTTACCAGTAGCTTGGGGAGAAAAATCCTAGGGATTTGTGAGCTAGCAGTATAATATGGTGAAAAAATACAGTGCCAACAGAATTTTGGATTATGTTTATAAAGGAATTACATCCTTACCAAGTGCTATAGGTATTCCCCCCTTATATCAGCTAGTCCACATCTGAATTATTATAGAAGTCTTTCCTGGGAAATACAAAAATGGAGCATTTCCAGAGAGTGATGACGAGGAAGTTTAATCTATAAATTTCTTTTGATGCTTAGATCTACTCTGCTTGTGTAATGTACTGTGAGGAGTAAAACCTGCCATACCCTGTTCTCAAGGGGCTTACTTTGTATCGTTCCAATCAAAGTGCACAGAAACTGAACACTTAGGTAAAACCCACTCCCCCTCTGCTGTTGAGTTTGAGCAATTGGGTTTAACAGGTGATAATTCTTCTTTTATTGAAAATGTGATTTTCAATAAAATTTTTGATTTCTGAATGCTAAGTTAAACTTTGTATTCTACAAATAGTAACTTACTCAGTCATTGGGTGTCAACGCTTTCATGTAAACTGCAAATATTTTTCCACTTCCTTTTATCATGGGAATGAGCAAAAGAGATTTTAGATGAAGGTAGGAAAGGTTCTCAATTTATTTAAAAATAAAAGTGGACAGTTAAAAAATCAGTTTCCCAAATTGAGGATTTGTTTCCTATGCCTAAAGAATCTTCACTATTATATTTAGGTGGTTTGCAGAATTAAGGGAAGAGAATCCAAAATGACTTTTTTTATTGAGACTCTTGAGTGAATGATCTAGAAGTAAGGTACAACCCTTTAAATGGGGTGAGATGAATGACACGTGTACAAGTGCACACACACACACATTACTGTAGATTAAAGATAGCATATATGGATCGCACATAGCCTGAAAATGTTAACTTTTTCATGTCTGCTGAATTAGTTATTATTTATTGATAAAGTCTAAATACTACAAGGCTTTATATTAAACTACAGATGTTAAAGATATAGCCACTACAGAGAAAATGCAAGTAAATTATTCCTAGGCATTTCATTTTGGGTTTTAAAATCTACTTTTTTAAGTTCTTGAGAAGTCACCGTGAAAATTCTTAATTGTCATCTTTTCTTCTGATACCAAGCAGCTGGCCCACATAGCTTCCACGAAAATACTATTGCAAAATTACTCTGACTCTATAGCTTTAACCAGTGCAAGCCTATAATCTGAATATGAATATCTGCCATCAGAGCAGTTCTGCAATGAAGCTGAACCACTGCTGTCCTCGACGTTAGAGGATTTAAAAGCTCTCTTGGAAAATGAGATGCCGGAGAGTAGAAATTAGTGTAAAAATGTGTAACAGGACCCATCAATCTAAATGTGGCATTCTTGTTTCAGCTGGCCTCCCTTCTTATTAGAACTTATTACAAATCCTACACCAGTCAAGTGAGAGGGAAATGGAATGGGAGCTTCGCCTCAGTGCCAGGGGAGCGTGTTTCATTACTGGGCCTTAATGGCAAGGCCGCGGGTTATCAAAGGCACTGCGTCTGTGTGCTCCACCCAGTGGCTTCACCTCACCCTGGCAAGCCAGAAAAACTGCCAAAGGGCCGAGAACCTTCCCGGGCCCCTGCATGCAGGCCGTGGTGGCAGATGAAAGCTTGTGGTTACAGGGGACCCGCTCGTGCCGGCCTGAACCTCTCATCTGGGCTGCGTCCTGGAGGGGGTCCTGGAGGGGTCGTGCTGGGGTTACCCGCTTCCCTCCGTCTGTGCTGCCGCCTCCTGGCTCCCAGCAAGGTGTGCCCAGGTGTCTGCTGCTGAGGGAGCCCCGCTGCAGGGACCTGCGGGCGGTTCTCCTGCTGCCCTTGGTTGGGACTGTGGCCCTTCCAGGCCAGCCCTGCTTTCTGGGGACTCAGCTCTGCTTGGGCCCTCACTGGTCCCGCGGACCCGCCGAACCCCGCTAGTGCGCGGGGCCAGGCCCCGCCTAAGCTTCCACCTCAGAGAGTCACCTCACGGCGCCGCGTCACCTCAGTCCTCCCCGCGGCAACCCCGTGAGGCAGGCCGCGCTCTCACTCTTAGCTGCCTTCCGCGGTCCCCACCTGAAGGACGTGGACACTTCCGGCTCCGTCGTGGGAAAAGGAGGTGTCTCGGCTCTCCTGCCTAGGTATGCTCAGCGACGCTTCTGTCCCTCGCCGCAGCCACCTCGTACCGTACCGGGCGGTCTCGTCCCGAAGCCCAGTTGTGCAGGCCTGGCACAGACTCCCTCCTGCACCTGCGCGTGTTCCGTCCCACCCGGCACCTGCTCCCTGCAGGTCCTACCCCCGTCCCTGCTAAGAGCTTTCCCTTCCTTCCCTTGTCTGTGGAAGAGGACCGTGCCCGCCCTCATAGAACGCGGGGCCGTGTGCTCGCGCCTGTTCTTACACGCTTTAAATAGTTTCACCTCAAAAGAGGAAGATTAGGGTGGAGACTACCCTAATACATCAAGAGGCATTTCCAAAATATAATCCCCAAAGCAATTCAGTAAATAATCACGGAGCAGCCACTGTGTGCCGGATGCTGGGAAGCACGGGCGAGCGACAGAGCTGAGGCTCCTGTTCTGAGTGAGCTCACAGCCGCGAGCACGTTGTGGGGAAGCTTCCTGTGCAAGGGCGTTGAGGGGGACCCTTGTAACACTATTTGTAGAAACAACTGAAGTGCCTATCAATGGGGAAATGATTGAATAGATTACGCAACAGCCGTGTCACACAGGAGGTAAAAAGAATTAGATAAGTCTGCACATACTCATCCAAATATATGTTGTATATAAATACAAACGTATGTCCGCATGAGTATTAAAAAATCTAAACAAATACACAGCCGTTAAGAATAATTTCCTCTAGGAGGTGGGATTTCACGCCTACCAGGGGATACTCCTTTTCCACAGGAAAGGAAAGTAGAAGTTCTTCTAATAGGGAAAGTGGAAAATCTAGAGGGATGATAGAATGTTTGACAAAAGCTGTTGGGGACAGGTAGAGAGGTAACTCTGACCTTTATTTTATAAACTTCTCTATTATTTGGATTTTATACAAGCTGTGTATTATTACTTTTGTAATTCTATAGACCATGAGTATGAGAAAAGTAATAAAAAAATACACCAAGAGTTGTCACTGGCACACAATCTAGTTTTACATTTTTTGAATTATTATTTCTAAACTGCACAGGTGAGAAGAGATGGAAAACACCCCTGTTCCAGCTCTCTCCACCCCATCCTCTGTAAGAATGCAGTGCCTTCAGGGGGTCTCCACCTGGCGGTCCCTGGGACAGTGAAGTGTCCCTCATGGGCCTGGTCTTTTGTCTTCAGCCTGCCTTCTTCTTCTCTGTTTCAGCCCCTCTATGTTGTCAACTCCTCTTCGTCTGCCATTCAAAGTTCCTACCTTGCCTATTTCCCCAAGTTGCATCTCCTGTCTTAGAAATCAGCAAATCCCAAATCTCCTTCATGTTTTAAATATTTTCACCTATTCTGGTGTTTGTTGTAAATCAAAATTGCTGTCTTTCCCACCCAGTTCTGCTACTGTAAGTGCAGTGGTTAGAATACAATGAAGGAAAGTGTTGCCTGAGTCTCTATCTGGGTCACAATGTGTGTTTTGGGATTATTATCCCTACTTATCTAAAATTAGACACACCTTGCTCTGCCTGTGTTGGTTTCTCTCCAGAAACACTTATCACATCTTCCTCTAATATCTGTATTTCTCCACTCTTGTATATTTAAACTTACTATTCTGAGAGCGCTTTTGACCCCTCCCAACTTTGGGTAACACTTTAGGGCCCTCTTTCAGCATCTTCTGTGAAACTTACTGGGCCCTCCCTGGCTTCTTGAGTCTTTATCAGGCCCTGTTTTTGGTTTCTTCTGGTTAAGAAGAGGCTTCTCTTAGGCAGGAGGATCACTTGAACCCTGGAGTTTGAGATTGCAGTGAGCTGTGATGACACCACTGCACTCTAGCCCTGGAGACAGCTAGATCCTGTCTCAAAAAAGAAAAAAAAAAACAAAAAACAAAAAAAAAAACCCAAGAATCTTCTGGCAACTTTTTTCCTGCTACAGTTGTTTCAAATAGTTTTGTGTAAAATAGCTGAAGATCTGTCTTTAGCCAATCTAATAGCTCTAAGCAATATTAGAACTTTGTTTATTCGTCCAACAGTAAATATTTGAATGGTTGCTGTATGCCTTCAGTTAACCTGTTTTTTTTTCTGAATATTTTAGCCATATAGAACAGGATAGCTTTCAAACACAGTAATACAGTGGTTTATTTACAGCAAATGAAATAAATCTCTTCCACCAATAGCTCACGTTTCAAAAAGAAAAATAAACTTGAGATCTAAGTCATAAAAAAACACAACCCAACCTGATAGCTGTAAATACTATCTTAAGTGTCCTTGGCATAAAGTCACAAATTAGTTCTTTTTATCAGCACACTGAGTGTTGGTTATGAAGTAGCTTTATGTAGGAGCAACTTTATCTCATAGTAGCTTCCCTCTTCTATCTTGTGTTTCTGTTAAAATATTAAGGGATGTATTTTATTCATTTACCTTAATTAAGTCAGTAATATTTCATTTAATCAGAAAATATAGCTATGGCAAGGTTGGAGCCAAGCATTATAGATTGCCTGTAAATAAACATGCTGAAATTTTCTTTTTGCAGATGCAAGTATTGGCATTATGATGAAAACCTGCTCACTTCGAGTGTTGTCATTGTGTTCCATAATGAAGGCTGGTCAACCCTCATGAGAACAGTCCACAGTGTGATTAAAAGGACTCCAAGGAAATATTTAGCAGAAATTGTGTTAATCGATGACTTCAGTAATAAAGGTAATGCCTACAGAAGTAACATTTTGTCTATAAAATGAGTTAATTATGAGTAACTACATAAATGTTATAAAAATGTAACTACAAAAATGAAATTTCAAAATAGATTTTTAAAACTTAACATCCATTGATAACATCTGTTAGCAACAAATTGACACCATGCCAAGCACCATATTCGTATATGAATTATTTCATTTAATACAATAATTCTTGCAGTAAAAAATTGTTGTCTCCATTTTACACATGAGGGTTGGAAACGTTAAGTAACTGGCCAAGTCACAGAGGTAGTAATTAGTATCTAAATCCATAGGCTCCTAAGACTGTGTTTTTAACCACTATCTTAGACTTTACCAATTCTTTGGGGCTTGGATTTTGCAAAAGTTTAGTCATAGAGGTCATTCATTGAAAGACAAAAAATGCAATTGCATGTATATTGCAGTTTACAATATACAAAACGTATATTGAACTGCCACACGAAGCTCCATCTGTAGTTTTCTATCTGAAATCCATATGCCCATTTCATAGCCTATCTTTTACATTTGAATGATGATGCAAATATTGAATCTGACCAGAACTGAGGACTATTTTTATTTGTAATAGAAAGCATCTTCTAAACCTTATTTTGTTCTATATTAGTTTGAGGTTTTTGAATAAAAGGAATTATGGCTTTTATTCTTTATTAGGAGCCAGTTATGAGAGCATTTAGGAAGGCATCAGTTAGTCTTGGTTCAACTTGGCAAGAGAGTGATTGAGCAGTGATTTTTCCAGATACATGAGTTTTTAAAGTTATTATAACTTTAAAGTTTTTCTTTAAATACATAATTAGTAGTTGATCTTCTTAATGATATAAATATGAAAAGATAGATGATGCTGTAGCTCAGATACTAAGTCAGCATGTCAAATAAAAATGTAATTATGCTACCGAAACCCAAATCTGGATACCTTTACTTATCACAAAACTGAATTGAAGCTTTTGAAAATTGACCAGAGAGCTCAGACTATTTAATAACAACAGGTTGTTCGCATTTTGACAAGTAATTTTTGCATAGAATATTTGTGTACAAGTAATGATACCATTAAATATAAGGTTACAAGTGAAGAGAGAACATGGGAAGCATGAAAATATCTTTTTATAATGCTTTATAAAAAAAGCTTCCACCCACATTGTGTTGGCCACAGCAAGTCAGGTGGCCCTGCCTGACATCGGTGGATTAGGGAAAGACTGTCTTCACCCAAGGAAGGGCAGTGAGTGTTTTGGACCCTAGTACAGTCTACTACTACAGTGCAACATCCCAGAGGAGCCAGTAGTTATTGGATTCACTGTTTCCCCTTTTGGGCCATAATAATCAAGAATCTAGATTTGAAGAACAGGCCATCAACTCATTTCTGTCTATAAAAATTTATTTAAGATTCATTTAGATTGCATATCCAGAAAAGGTCCTAAGGGAATTCAGAAAGGCTTTAAAAAAAAATAATTTAAGACTGTATTAGGCTTAAAAAAGAAAAAGAAAAAGATGATAAAGACTTTTAAAAAAAACAAAAACTTGAAGGGAAAATTACCCAGGTTTTCTGGGGAAAAAACATGACTAAGCACAAGAATTTTATTTTAATACTTATTAAAACTGGGTGCCAAAATAAAAAGAGGGAAATTTTTTTTCTCAATTCCAAATACCCATGTGTGGGTGTCTTGCTAATAATAAATTCCCTAAAATGAGTAAAATATTAAGTGTACAATCTGATTTGCCCATTTAACCACTAGCTCATCTCTAAATATAGCAATTTTTTGTGATCATGTATTCACGGACCAAATTTTTAAAACAATTTTTATGTCTGCAAGAAGCTTCTTTAAAGGATCCAAGAGCTTGTTCTGGCCGTGGTGAGACAATGGACTCAGAGTGATAACCAACAAAAGCTGGTCTGTTACAGTGGGAAGCCAAAATGGGAACGTTGCCAAATGTGTGTGGTTTCTATAACACAAAATTTCCTCTATTAAATTAGAAGCATATATAAATACGTGTGTGTATGTAATTACAACCTAATATAATTACGTACACTTGTTGATGCTTAAAATACAGAGAAAATGGGATTTTTATTTTTTTATTTGTATAAATTTAAGGGGTACAGGTATGATTTTGTACATAGGCGTTGTGGAGTGGTGAAGTCTGTGCATTCAGCGCATCCTTTGCCCAGATAACGTACTTTGTACACGTTAAGTAATTTCTCATCGCCCCTCCCACCCTCCTTTTGTGGTCATTTGCCAGCGTGGTGGGAACCCCATCCGTCACTCCAGGACGGCAGCTTTCAGCCCTGACACATGTGGCTGGAGAAAGACGGCCCAGACACTAGTGTTAGTGACCTATAGCCCGTGCGGACTCCAGCGAGGTGGCGTAATAGCACCAGCAGGCCATGCGCCCGCAGAAATCCAGAGCCAGTGCTTTTGCCAATAGCAAACAAAATGCTGAGTCTGAAAGCTTTTAGGTTTGGTGTTAACATCCAAACTTAAAAAAATATATTTTTTAATATATCTTAACTGTCAATTGCCATGATCGTTATTTAATATTTAGAGGTATGTTTGACAGTTCTCAGGCTAACCAGTTCTCTGTAGGTATATTAAGCTCAAAACTTAAACAATATACTTCACCTTCCTTCTTCATAGATTAAACATTCAATCTGGTCCATGTAAAATTACTGACTACCCACTGTGTACCTATTTCCTATCCTTGTTGGTTGAGAAAAATGATAATTAATTGGTTTATATACATAAGTCTAACGTATAATACTGATTGAATCATTTTTCATTCATAGAACACTTAAAAGAGAAACTGGATGAATATATTAAGCTGTGGAATGGCCTCGTAAAGGTATTTCGAAATGAGAGAAGAGAAGGTTTGATTCAAGCACGAAGCATTGGTGCTCAGAAGGCTAAACTTGGACAGGTAGGAAGCATTTGATCTCTGCAATGTCAACATTTTGGATTTGGTAACTAAATCATACATTTTAATCACCCTGTAGTTTTTTTTTTTTTTAATTTAAAATGAGAATGCTGGCTTAAACAGATAACTTGTATGTCAAATTGACTATAATGCTAATTTTTATTAGCATCTAATTTTAAATTGTGTGTGATATATGCTGTACCATATATGAGGAGCATTCTTTCACCCTGCCTCTTTTTTTTAAGGTTTTGATATACCTTGATGCCCACTGTGAGGTGGCAGTTAACTGGTATGCACCACTTGTAGCTCCCATTTCTAAGGACAGGTAACATCACCTTGCTTTTTTTTTTTTTCTTTCCTGGTTGAAAAGTAAACCTTGTCCTAGAAGGGCAAATACGCTCATTCTTTGATTCAGTTCTATTAGTGCATCAAGTGTTATGTTAAAGGTGTTATTCCTCAGTTAGTTGTTTCCCTGGGTGGAGCTAGAATGATTATACCATGAGCTGATGTAAATGTAGGCAGTCTCGCATTTGAGAGAAAACAAGGGCTTCTCACAGGAGAATCGTCTTGTGGTTGGGTGATTAAGACTTCCTCTATCTCCAAGAAACTTCTCTAAGAGCTGTTTTAGTTGCTCTATCTAAACTGGGGTAAGACTTGAGGAAAAATGCTTTAAAATTACACCTGCCAATTTTTATGACCTTTTAAATTACTGCTTTAGTTAGTGTCAACTGTTACTTGTGTCTAGGCTTTGAGTTCCTATAGAAATTTTAAGGTTTAGAAATAGACAACTATACCATGAAAATGTGGCAATCACCATTAAATTGCCAGAATCTAGGAAAATAAGTCATGTCCCTGTGACAAATGGTATGAGTCAAAGAAAGACTTTGGAGGATTTAATCATGAGTGCATTTATTCATTTATTTATTTATTTTTGAGACAGAGTCTCACTCTGTCGCCCAGGCTGGAGTGTGGTGTCACAGTCGTAGCTCAGTTGTATCCTCAAGTGATCCTTCAAGGGATCAAGGGGCTCAAGCTATCCTCCTGCCTCAGCCTCCCGAGTGGCTGGGACTGCAGGTGCATGACACCACACCTGGCTAATTTTTAAATTTTTTTTATAGAAATGGAGGGAGGTCATGCTATGTTGCCCAGGCTGGTCTCAGACTCCTGGCCTCAAGCGATCCTCTCACCTTGGCCTCTCAAAGGGCTGGGATTACAGGCATGAGCCACCATGCCTGGCCTCATGTGCAGACTTAACGTGAAAGCCTGTCATAAACGTTTTTCACATGCTGTCTGATTCAGTCCTCACGGCAACCCTGCAAGATGGAGATTATTATCTCCATTTGACTGAAGAGAAGACTGAGGCTTAGAGAAATTAAATAATTAGCCCTAAGTCACATAGCTAAGAAACTGTCAAACCGAGGTCTCTCTAGAACCCTTTGCACATCACCATTTATTTTAAAGTGTAAAAGTCATGAGAAGTAAGGAAAGGTCACTGACCAGGTGTCAGGTAACCCTCTCCAGGTGAATTCTAGCAGCCCTAAAAAAGACGGTGGCACACAGAGACGGTGGCAGCCCCACGAGTCCCACAGTGACCCTCTGTGAGAGTTCATACTCCGCAGGGAAGGAAGCACGTTTCTAGAATCCACACCTCCCATCTTAAAGCTCAAGGCAACATAGGTTTTTCCCTTTTCCTTGGTGTCTAAACATCTAAAAAGCACCTTGACCTGGTTACGGCAAGCTATAATCTCCATTTTAGGAAAATAACATTTTAAAATCCTTTCTGATCAGATGAGCATTCAAAGGAGCAGAGTACCAGGTTATCTTTGTCTCGTCACCTCGACGCCTATGGTTATATAGCACTAGCATTTTTGTGCCGCCTAAATATAAGAGTTTGTTTTTTGTTTTTTTTGTTTTTTTTTGCTGTAAATTCTCAGACCACTTCCTAAGTTTTTCAGCAGGGACTGCTGAAGGACTTTTTTTTGCTTTGAGGGACTTTTTTTGCTTGTTTTTTTTTTAAAGCAATAATAGAATTTTTTAAAAGCAACAGTAGAATTTTTTTTTCTATTGGTTTTTGTTCTTTTGCAGTAAAACCTGTTTTTTAAAGTCAAAGGAGTGTGGAAGAAGATCAAGTAAAAATATAGAAACACATTTCCATAATAACTGTTTCCAAAGAAGTAGAAAGCAACAGAGTTGGGAGAACTGCTAGGAATGTGGCACACACACACACACACACACACACACACACACACACTTTAATGAGGAATAAAGAAGGAAAATAACAGGCAGGAAAATCTTGTAAATAAGTCAGAATTACCAAGAGATAGTTGCCTGTAGGACCAAAGGGAGGAGAAAACACTATTAAGCTCAATGAAATGGCTTTGTCCCTGACATCTGTCTGAAAGTGCAGGGGGAGGTCTCCTGTCTCCTGCCCTTAGAAAAACCGGATCTTTGGCTTTTATGGGACATTCATTTACTCTGTTTTCCATTAGATATTTAAAGTCCCCTAGTGCAAAACCAAATCAACAACAAAAAGGCATGCTAAACCAGTCAGTTTTGGGTTCTTAAATGCTTCTTTATTTTCTGTAAATGTTTCAGAACTACATGTACTGTGCCCCTAATAGATTACATAGATGGGAATGATTATTCCATTGAACCACAGCAAGGTGGGGATGAAGATGGTTTTGCCAGAGGGGCCTGGGACTGGAGTTTACTGTGGAAACGTATTCCTCTAAGCCACAAGGAAAAGGCCAAAAGAAAACATAAAACTGAACCTTATCGGTAAAGACTACTACTTTTATTTTCTTATGTTGAATGTTCACCTAAGTCCTTTTTTTTTTTTCTTCCCCATGAACTCGTGTAAATATGTGGGTCCATACATATGCTTCCATTTGATCATTGCTGCCATCATCAACACAATGCAGAACCATTTGCACTGTGCCGCTTATAGATGTCATAAATGGCAACACATACGAAATTGTACCCCAAGGGGGTGGTGATGAAGATGGGTATGCCCGAGGAGCATGGGATTGGAGTATGCTCTGGAAACGGGTGCCTCTGACCATTCAAGAGAAGAGACTGAGAAAGACAAAAACTGAACCGTATCGGTAATCACTAAATCAACTTACATATTTTTCTTTTCTCCAGTTGCTGCTAACCTGTTAACCTCTTGCCAAGCTAAAAATGTGTTACTAAAACTGTAGATGGTGTCTCAGATTCTGAAAGAGCATCTTTCCTCATTCTGTTTCAGAGCTTTGAATTCACATTTGCTCTATTAAAATTGCTTTCACCCTAAATGAAATCTCTAACTACTGAGAATTACGCTCTCTCATTGGAAAAAAAAAAATGTAACATGACATTAATTCCAAGTATAAGTGAAAAAAAGAAAATCTTTGCTCTCCTGTCCACCTAGACTAGACATCATATTTTATTCTTTTGATGATCATGTCATTCTAGAAACGTAAAATACATAAATTACTTTATAATCCAAGACTGTTACTTCCATTTGGATGTCTTGGTTGTAATGTTAACAATGAAAGGCACTAGCAAGAGATTTTTGGTTTTTCCACTTTTTATTTTTATGCTAGCTCTCACGGAATAATTTTGTAGCAGTTAAATCTCATGAATAAAAATGCATAACTTTAGAAAATGTTACATAGAATCCTTCATTGTTTCATTCTCAGAAGGGTGATTAAACAAAAACTATTCTAAAATCAGCTTTTGTTCTTCTTGTGGTTCTTCAAGTAGAACAATTTATGGTACTGTCTTCTTTTCATCTTTTTTTTTTTTTTAAGAGACAGGGTCTCACTCTGTCACCCAGGCGGGAGTGCAGGGGCATGATCATGGATCACTGCAAGGTCCAACTCCTGAACTGAACGATCCTTTCACCTCAGCTTCCTGAGTAGCTGGGACTACAGGTGTCCACCCACTACACCTGGCTAATTTTTAAAATTGTTTATAGAGATAGGGTCTCACTACGTTGCCCCAGGCTGGTCTTGAACTCTTGGCCTCAGGTGATCCTCCCTCCTCGGCCTCCCAAAGTGCTGGGAGTATAGGTGTGAACCACCTCCCCGTCTGCTTCTTTTGATCTTTTAATTGGAACATTTTACTGCCTTTCAAAAAGTGATCCCAAGTGAAATGTTTGCTCAGATATTAGTGCAGCCTTCTCCCGAATGTGTCTGACTTTATTTTTCTGATCCTGTGGCTCTGCCTTTGGTCTCTCTCCTGTCACGCTGCTGACAATGTTAGAACTCTGTTTTGGGAAGGTGCTTCCAGTGTCCTGGAAGTGCTGGTAGAGTTGGGCATGCCATGAGATCAGATACTGAATGGCAAACATCAGGAAATTATATAACCGTAAGGTTCATTTCATTCAAATTTAACCTAAATTTTCATTTGTAAATTTCTTACTCAGAATAGTCCAGAAATCTATTGCTTACCTGCTTAACCTAACAGGTAATTCTGGGAGGAAGAAAAGAAAGGGTGCTGAGTACATTTATATTTCTGCTACTTCCACGGACTAGGCTAGTAAAGAAATGTTTAAAAATGAGCTAGAAAAATTTAGGGGAAGTTTCCATTTTATTAACTCACTAGTTTCCACATTAAAAGTGCATTTTCAAATATATACAGAGTTGAATGGGAGTATATTTAAAGGTCAAAAAGGCACAGTTACAATGGAGTCTATTTTAAACGATGGTTAAATAAATGTCACCAAAAACGTAATAGTGCTATTTAGTGAGTCAGCTAGTATACTTTAAGAAGAAAAGGCATGAGAGAATGACTTTCTCCTGACATGACTGTCCTTTAAAACTGAAAAATGTTACTTGACTCATTATTTATCCACTCAACAAATATTTACTGAGTGCTTACTGTGTTGCCAGGCACTATTTTCTGGAGACAGATTTAAAAAGATTTGTTCTGTCATTGAACTTAAAATAGTGTGAGTCAGACAGAAATTACCCAGGTAACTACACAGATGACTCTGAAGCAGCCACGGTGATCAGCAGTCTGAAGAAGAAAAACCCCAAGGTGCAGGAGCTCATGGGAAGGGGAACCTCATCCAGCCTGGAGGACCAGGAAGGGCCTCTGACAAAGAAAGCATCGCTTAGGCTGAGACCTGCAGGGCGAGGAGTCAGCCTTCAAGACAGGGAGAGAGCACTCCTCAGAAGCGGGCATAGTGGAAGCAAAGGCCTGAGACAGGAGGGGCTGCCTCACCTGGGTGTCCCCCCCCTGCCGAGTCTGCTCTGGCCGGGGTGTGCTGAGACTTGGGCCTGGTGGAACAGAATGAAGGAAATATGTTCGGGAGACACTGCAGACTCTGAGCAGTGTTGGCTCTATCCAGGGTGGAGGCAGTGGAATTGGAAAGAAGTGGACCGACTTAAGGTGTATTTTCAAGGTAGAAGCAATAGGACTCAGTGGTAGATTGAATGTTAGGTGTGATGATGAAGAAAGGACCCTGGTGGTGTTACATACTGTGACACTTAAGGATCACGATGCATTAATAACTAATTGCTCAGGGGTGAGGAGCAGGGAGCTGAATGAAAACGATTTTGTTATCATTTCTCCCAGGGGTCGGAGTGACTTGTGCCTAAAAAGCTACCAGATCTTTATTCTCTTGCCCCTAAGAAGTACCCAACTTAAGACCCATTCAGGAAGTCGCGCAGAGCACCTGTTTGCATTCATACCGCCTAGCACAGTAAACAGCTGTGTCTTATTCTCCTGTGTGATTTCTGTGCCACATTTGCAAACTCCGAATGAACTGTGCCTGTTCTACAGTGATTTACACCTTTATTTGGCAAGCCCCTGAGCTATAAAGTTAAAAAATGACAGACTACTTCCATGGTGTATGGTTTCATTCATCCCAGAATGACTCATAAATCATTGCAGGAGCAGTTAGCAGACCATGGCTATATGGCTCAATGTTTTTAAGGGTGAAAGAGAAAATTCTATTTTAGCTTAAACTAAGGTTTAATTTTTAACTCAACAAAGGAACCAAGGCGCCCTCTAATGGCAGAATAACACAGTGCTCTACTTTGTAATGAACTTAATTTGGTTTCACTTAGAAACTGGTAAATTTATTAACAAATTATGAACAGGCTGTTTTGTAAAGGCTTTATAATTTCTTAATGTTTGTCCATCAGTTTTGTCTCCTCTGTGCATTTTGTAGGCTGTATTCTAAAAGGCTTCTTGTCTGTTGGTGAAGGGATATTGGGGATTTGTCTTTAATGGTTATAGCATTATTTCTTTTTCTTAGGTCCCCAGCCATGGCTGGGGGATTATTTGCCATTGAACGAGAATTCTTCTTTGAACTGGGTCTCTATGATCCAGGTCTCCAGATTTGGGGTGGTGAAAACTTTGAGATCTCATACAAGGTAATATTTTATTTAAACAGATAACAGTTTTCCAAGTAGTTACTGACTTTTGTAACTTTCAGATAAGGTTGGTTTCTTGTTGGGAAAAAAAAGCATAATAAATGTCTCCAAATTCCAAGGAATGACTTAACAAAAATGTATGCCTTTTGCCAAAAATATGACAAAATTCAAGCTCCAAACTTACCACATATTTACAGGGCTCAGCTCAAAATTGTGGCCAAGAAACTCCAGAAATGAAAATACTCTCCACCTCCCCCACCCCCACTTCATGCTTTCTGTTCACTGGAGCCTTTTATGCTAGAAGCCCTTGGGAAAATCTGCATATCTTAGGGCCACCATTGACTCCCCACTGACATGGTCACCCTTTATCTGTAGGACATGATGACTCCAGACAGAAGCAGACCCCCACAGTGACTGTGCCTCCTCAGACTGACCCTGGAGCTGTCTTCCTGCAGCACCTCCCCTGTTGTTGAGGCAGTCCCTGAGCAATACCGCCTTCTGTGCTCCAGCCCCCTCCTCAACCCCCACTCCTACCCCCATTTCAAAAGAGAGAGAGAGAGAGAGAACTATATCACAGCTTGAGTTAAACAGGTATTCATTACCTCTTGTCTTAAATGTCCTGTGCCTGGCACTGGAAGGGATAGAAGAGGGGTAACCCAGTCTCTGCTCTCAAGGATCTTACAGTCCCTAAGAAGAGATTAGAACATGAAGGCAGAATGGCATTCAGTTGGTGTGACTAACAAATGGCATTGTGCTAGAGGCAGAATTTGAGACAGAACTAGAAAGACGCAGCACGGCACGGCAGGATGTCAATAAGCAGAGATAAAGAGAGGGGAGGGGATTCTAAGCAAAAGGAACATATTCAGGAAACAGCAGGGAACACAGTCTGGCACAATCAGGCAGCATGAACAAGGAAGACATATAGGAAGATAAAGTGGACAGGATGGTTAGGACCATATTGAAGACAGCCGTTAATGCTGAGTTAACAGATTTTTTACTTGATTTGATAAGCAATGGAGAACCATCAAAAAGATATTCAGCAAGGGAATAACACGACCCAAAGCTGCCCTTCAGCTGTAATAATCTCTTGCTATAAATAAGGACAGAGTTAAGCGGAGAGAAGCTGAAGGGGAAGAAGCCAGTTAGGAGGTTATTACAGTAATCACCCCAGGTAGGAAATATTTTAGCAGTGGGCATGAGGGATGAGCTAGAGATGAAGAATCGGCATGGCTTTGCAAGGTTGCGTTGGGGAGAGGCTGCTAGGGGCTGCGGCTCTGCAGGAGGAGGGAGGCCCCTTAGTAACGGTGCATTACCATATTTCCTGTTGCCTTCTCTGTTATTATCTGAGTTTCTAAACAAGCACACTATTTTAGAATTTATTTTGTCCGTGGATTCCTTGTGGACATTGCATCTAACTTAGATTACAGATGTATATTTACAAGACAATTTTTCAGTTTAAAATTTATTTTTTTTCTTTTGAAAAAACTTCCTCAGCATGTGTTTTCCTTTGACAGATATGGCAGTGTGGAGGCAAGTTATTGTTTGTCCCTTGTTCTCGTGTGGGACACATCTACCGTCTTGACGGCTGGCAAGGGAATCCCCCACCTGTTTCTGTTGGCTCTTCTCCAACTCTAAAGGTGAGTTTTTTGGCTAAAAAGGGGAGAAGGATAGGGAACTAACATTTATGTGACACGTGCTATAGTAGTCACTTAAATGTCAGCTTAGGGAATGTCCGCTGGTTCTCACCTTCAGCTTAGGCTAGACTTATTCATGAGGTGTAGTGTTCTTTTTTTCTCTTTCTCTTTGTCTTTTCTTTTCCTTTTTTTTTTTTTTTTTAAGAGACAGGTTCTCTTTCTTTTGCCCAGGGTGGAATGCAGTGGCATGATAATAGCTCATTGTAACCTCGAATTCCTGGGATCAAGGAATCCTCCTGCCTCAGCCTCTTAAGTAGCTGGGACTACAGGCACATGCCACCGTGCTTGGCTAATTTTTTTACTTTTTTGTAGAGACAGTGTCTTGCTCTATCACTCAGGCTAATCTCTAACTCTTGGCTTCAAGTGATCCTCTTATCTTGTCCTCCCAAAATGCTGGGGATCACAGGCATGAGCCACCACACCTGGCCTAATATCATGCAGTTCTTTAAGATTATTTATTGTATCCCATTTTTTATCCTATTTTTTAAATTAACAGGTAAATCTTATATATATTTATAGCTTATTGCATAATGTTTTGGTATATGTATACATTGTTGAATGGCTAAATCAAGCTATTTAACATATGCATTACATTACATGTTTTTGTGGTGAGAACACTAGAAATCTACTCTCTTAGCAGTATTCATATATATACAGTATAGTTATTAACTGTAGTCACCATGATGTATAATGGATCTGTTGACTTTATTCTTCTTGTCTAAGTGAAGTTTTGTGCCCTTTGACCAAAATCTCTCCAATCCTCCCAACCCCCAGAGTCTGTCAACTACCATTTTATTCTTTGTTTCTGTGGGTTCGACTTCTTTACACTCCACACATGTGTGAAATCATGCAGTATCTGTCTTTCTGTGCCTGGCTTATTTCACTTAACATAATGTGCTCCAGGTTTATTCATGTTGTGGCAAATGACAGGATTTCCTTCTTTGCTATGTGTGGCTGAAAAGTATTTCATTGGTGTATATGCTACATTTTCTTTACCCATTCATCTGTTGATGGACATTTAGGTTAATTCCATATCTTGGCAGTTGTGAACAATGCTTCGGTGAGCATGGGAGTGCAGATACCTCTTCAACAAACTGATTTCACATCCTTTGGATATATAACTGTTAGTGGGATTGCTGGATCATACAGTAGTTCTATTTTTAATTTTTTGAGGAACCTCCATACTATTATCCATAGCAGCTGTACCATTTTGCATTCCCACCAACAGCGTACAAAAGTTCCAATTTCTCCACATTGACATCAACCCTTGTTATCTTTTTGATAATAGCCATTCTAACATGTGTGAGGTAATGTCTTGTGGTTTTAATTTGCATTTCTCTGATGAATAGTGATGTTGAGCATTTTTTCATGTACCTGTTGGCCTATTTTTATGTTTTCAGGAATGTCTGTTCAGGTCCTTGGCCCATTTTTAAATCAGGTTGTTTCCTTACTATTGAGTTGTTTGAGTTCCTTATATATTTTGGATATTAACCCCTTATCAGATGTATATTTTGCAGATATGTTCTCTGTCCCTAGATTGTCTCTTTGTTGATTGTTTACTTTGCTATGCAGAAGCTTTTTAGTTTGATACGATTCATTTTGTCTATATTTACTTTTGTTGCCTGTGCTTTTGGGATCATATCCCAAAAAAATCTTTGCACAGACCAATGTCATAAAACTTTTCCCAGCCTCTGTCTTCTTCTAGAAGTTTTACAATTTCTGGCCTTTTTATTTAAACCTTTCATCCATTTTGAGTTGATTGTTATGTATGATATGAGATGAGGGTCTAATTTGATTCTTTTGCACATGGATATCCAGTTTTCCCAGCATCATTTATTTGAAGAGACTATTTTTTCCCCATTGTGTGTTCTTGGCATTTATGTTGAAAATTAGTTGACCGTAAATGTGGAGATTTATTCCTGGGCTCTCTATTCTGTTCCATTAGTCTATGTGTCTGTTTTTATGCCAGTACCATACTATTTTGATTACTAAAGCTTTGCAGTAGATTTTGAAATCAAGTAGTGTGATGCCTCTGGCTTTATTCTTTTTGCTCAAGATTGCTTTAGCTATTTGGGGTCTTTTGTGGCTCCATATGAATTTTAGGATTGATTTTTCTATTTCTGTGAAAAATGTCATTGGAGTTTTGATAGATATTACGTTGAATCTGTAGCTTACTTTGGGTAGTATGGACATTTTAACAATATCAATCTTTCAATCTATGAACATGGGATAGCTTTCCACTTATTTTGTGTATTCTTCAATTTCTTTCATCAATGTACAGTTTTAAGCATGCAAATTTTTCACCTCCTTAGTTAAATTTATTCCTAGATATTTTATTTTTTGTATACAGTTATTATAAAGGGGATTATTTTCTTGGTTTCTTTTTCAGATAGTTCACTGTTAGCATATAGAAACACTACTGATTTTGTATGTTGATTTTGTATTCTACAACTTTACTAAATTTATTAGTAAATTAAAATAGTAATAGTAAATCTGGAAGTTTTTTGATAAAATCTTTAGGGTTTTCTGCATGTAATAGCATGTCATCTGCAAACAGAAGGTAGTTTAACTTCTTCCTTTCTGATTTGGATGCATTTTATTTCTTTTTTCTTGCCTAATTGCTCTGGTTAGGATTAGTGTATTGAATAAGAGTGGCAAGATTGGGCATCATTGTTCCTGATCTTAGAGGAAAAGATTTTAACTTTTCGCCACTGAGTATGACATTAGCTATGGGCTTATCATATATGGCCTTTATTGTGTTGAAGTACATTCCTAATTTGTTGAGCATTTTTATCATGAAGTTATGTTGAATTTTGTCAACTGCCTTTTTTGCATCTATTGAGATGATCATATCGTTTTCATCCTGCATTCTATTAATGCAGTGTGTCACATTTATTGATTTGTATGTTGAACCATCCTTGCATCCCAGGGATAAATCCCACTTGATCATGGTAACTTTCTAATGTGTTGTTGAATTTGGTTTGCTAGGATTTTGTTGAAGATTTTTTACATCTGTGTTCATCAGAGATATTGGCTTATAATTTTATTTTCTTATAGTGACCTTGCCTGGCTTTTGTTTCAGGGTAATAATGCTGACCTCGTAAAATGAGTTTGAATGTTTTCCCTCCTTTAATTTTTTGGAAGAGTTTGAAAAGAATTGGTATTCATTCTTTGAATGTTTGGTAATAGCAGTGAAGCCATCAGGTCCTGGACTTTTCTTTAATGCGAGACTTTATTACTAATTTGATGTCCTTACTTATTACTAGTCTATTTAGTTTTTCTATTTCTTCAAGATTTTAGTCTTGACAGGTTGTGTTTAGGAATTTATCCGTTTTTTTTAGGTTTTCCGATTGGTTGGCATATTATAATTGTGCATAGTAGTCTCTTGTGATCTTCGTATTTCTGTGGTATCAGTTGTTCTCTTTCATTTCTGATTTTATTTATTTGGTCTTCTGTTTTTATTAGTCTGGCTAAGGGCTTGTCAATTTTATCTTTTAAAGAAACCAAATTTTAGTTTTGTTGATCTCTTCCATTGTTTTTCTACTCTTACTTATTTCTGCTCAGATTTTTATTATTTCCCTCCTCATTTCGGGCTGTTTGTTCTTTTTCTAGTTCCTTGAGGTACAATATTAGGCTGCTTATTTGGAATTGCTCTTCTTTTTTGATGTAGGCATTTATTGCTATAAATAAATGCCCTCTTAGAACTTCCCTCTTAGAACTGCTTTTGCTGCATCCCATAAGTTTTAGCATGTTTTTTTCATTTTTGTTTATCTCAAGATATTTTTTAATTTATCTTTTAATTTCTTCTTTGACCCATTAGTTTAGGAGCATGTTACTTAATTTCAAAATATTTGTAAATTTTTCCAAATTTCCTTCTGTTACTGATTTCTAATTTCATACCATTGTGGTCATAAAAGATATTTGTTATGATTTTAATCTTCTTACATTTGTTAAGACTTGTTTTGTGGCCTAACATATGACCTATTTTGGAGAATGTTCCATGTGCACTTGGGAAGAATGTGTATTCTGCTGCAGTTGGATACACTGTTCTGTACATGTGTGTTAGGTACATTTGGTCTAAAGTATAGTTCAAGTCTTAATGTTTGCCTGTTGATTTTCTGTTTGATTGATCTGTCCGTTGTTGAAAATGGAATACTAAAGTCCCATACTGTTGCAGTTTATCTCTCTCTTCAGATCTATTAATATTTGCTTTATATATTTCAGTATTCTAGTGTTGGGTGCATATACATATGTTAATAATTATATCTTCTTGATGAATTGATCACTTTATCATTATATAATGATCTTCTTTATCTATTTTATAGTTTTTTACTTCAATTCTATTTTATCTGATATAAGCATAGCTACCCCTGTTCTCTTTTCGTTTCCATTTGCATGGAATATCTTTTTCCATACTTTTACTTTCAGCCTGTGCGTGTCTTTAAAAATAAAGTGAATCTATTGTAGGCAGCATATAGTTGGGTCTTGTTTATTTATTTTTATTAATTCAGCCACTTTATGTGTTTTGATTGGGGAGTTCAAGCCATTTACATTCAATGTAATTATTGGTAGGTAAGGATTATTAATGCCATTTTGTTAATTGTTTTTGGTTCTGTAGATTCTTTTCTTGCTCTCTTCATTTGTGGTTAGGTGATTTTTCTCTAATGGTATGCTTTGATTCCTTCCTTTTTATCATTTGTGTACCTACTGTACGTTTCTGCTTTGTGGTTACCATGGTGCTTACATAAAACATCTTATGGCCGGGTGCAGTGGCTCACACCTGTAATCCTAGCACTCCGGGAGGCCGAGGCGGGTGGATCATTTGAGCTCAGAAGTTCGAGACCAGCCTGAGCAAGAGGGAGACCCTGTCTCTACCAAAAAAAAAAAAAAAAAATCGGGCATGGGGGCACATGCCATGCCTGTAGTCCCAGCTACTAGGGAGG